ACAGAGCAGAAAGAAACACACGGCTGCTGTTTCATTATTAATTCACACACAAAGCAAAACCACACCAACACGTGTTGTCATTAACTGACACTTTTCCAGCCATGGCTTCATCATAGCATGATCACATTGAGTTTGCAATGAGCATATGAGTAGTTTATGTTAATATCGTCAAGTGCTAGCACATAGGCCTCATTATGTCAGGGTTTTAAATACAGGACTCATAAATCATTTATCGACATTGCTGATATCAGATTGAAAGTCTTATTTTCCTTACAAACAGCCAAAGTACAGTGATAATAATGTACCCTTACTTGTTAGCTCGCCAAAAGTAATTAGCAGCCTAGCACATCACAAGGACAAACACCACACGACAAAACCAGAGATTAGTCAAAGAAACATGTACAATGCTTGAATATGCAATTAGTAGTTTTTCTACAAGATATTAACACACATTACGAAAAGCTCTACTGTTACAATATCCTCTCACACAAAATAATCTTCCAGTGGAACATTAGGTGAGGACATGTCAACTGACAATAACGGTGGCTGGCAGTGCTGGCTGTAGTTTAATTGGTGTGTTGCAAATACATGTCATTCAGACCATTCATTAGCCTCAAGATTTCTGCGCCTAGTGATGAATTCAGCCTCATTCTGCTGTAGCCATGCTTCAACTTTATCTGACAGAATATAATTGACAGCGGTCGTCACAGCAAGAACTTTTCATGCTGCCAACCAGAGAGTCAGTCATTGATTGACACCAAATAACAGGGAATTTTGTATGTTCTGTTCACTAATAAAACCGTGGCACTTGAAGAGCATTAAAAGGCATAATATCTAAATGAATAAAAAGTGGAATAAACCTATGTTACACTGTATATATATTTTGTTGAGTACTTATGTTAGCTAAAATGTTTCCAACAGTTATCAAAGCCAGAGAAATCATTAATTTCATAGTTGTAACGCCCCTTTTTTTCTGGCAGCCGCCATGACAGCCACTACATGTTTATCGTTGCCAGGGAAACACCAGATGTTACATCAAAGACAGCTGCATGAGGAAGCAGTAACTGCTACTAAAAGCTGCAGTGATGTTGCTGTATGTGCTGCTATGATAAAAGTGTCATGTAAACTATACTTGGATAAATTAGCTCGTCTGTGAACATATTATCTTTCTCAGGTCGCTTTCGCACATTCGTCTTGACTTCGGTCAACTCGGTTTTTGTTACTGTTTTGATTGAGAGCCCCCTGGTGGCGGAATTTACATACTCTTTGTTTAATATCAACTACACTTTTCTCTGGATTATTTAGGATTTTGGCTGTTGGGTACAGCAAGTCAACGTGGGTTAAATGTAGTTCACATAACATCTCTCATTAGTTTTTGATACTTAGTAGACAAATTCCTACCATGCAGACTCTGCAAAGTGTCTTATAAACACTAACACAAGTCTGCAATCTAGTTCTACTTTCCAGTACTTTCTGGCTTCTTCCTAATATCTGCTTTTTGGCCCCTTTTTGGAAAAAATAGTGATAAGAGGAACCCTGATGCATGATTTTTAGCCATCTCACATCGTACTGTAATCCTCTGGCTTGAAATATTTTCTTCCCTCTCTAACCTCGTCCCCATCTCCTGCTCCTGATGATAATATGTATGCTGCTTATTCAAACTCTGAAATAGTCAAATATTATTCATTTTAGGGAGTCTTTTGTCTGTCTAGAGTTCCTACACCATTTCTCTGAAAGTCTTCCTCTGTTGCCAATAAGGTGAAAGCAAATATTGTACTGTCCTCGCTCTGTCCACTCCATCTTACTCAAATCTTTCTCTTACTCCAGAGATCCTTGAGAAAGTGAAAGAGAAAGAAACAGAAAGAGAGAAATGTGGCAATAGTCATACTTTCAACTCATTGCGGTAAATCTCAGTGGTTCTTGAAAGTTGCCATGGATACAAACCCAGCCTGTATGGATAAGAAAGAAGAATGTTTTGTAAGAATGTAGCTGACTCTTTAAAAAAGTCTTCTGTAAGGTATGTTGCTTTGACATATTTGTACTGCATATATATTTATATATTTTTTTTTCTTCTCAAAAATGTCCAGTATTCATAAATGCAATGGATTGCTGAACAAAGACAATGGCATCACTGTGATCTCTTTGGACAAGCTATGCCATTTAAGCTGAAAGGATACTACTTAACCACAGAATTGCATTAAATCTAGAATGGTCGGAAGAGAAGCTATCCTTTCTCCAAACCTCTGGATGTTAATACATGGCAGCCTCCAATTTAGCTCTGTAACCCCTTCCTTTTACATTCCCCTGTCCAGCTGTGCCAGCCAGATAAGGTATATTAGTAAATGTGCTTTTTCTTCCAATTATTTCTTTTGCATGTGTGCATAACAAGTCGCGGATTCAGTGGGATGCCAACCGGCATCATGATGAAAGGCAATAGAAAGTTAAAGAAAAGGTCTATTTGATCAGATCTTAAAAAAACAAAGGCATGCCGTGCTTTTTTACATGTCTGGCTCTGATTTTCTAAGTCGGCACAGTTTGTTGGAAACAACTGTATTTAAATGTTCAGACAGGACCCAGTCCTAATGGCCTAAATGTCCCAGTAACACGTGAAGGATTGTGTCTAGGTTTCAACATGTGCACATACAGTAAGCAGGCTACATATTGATTTTGCTTTAACACATCTAAATTAACATTAAATATAAAACTCCTCATAAATGTATCTGAAAGACCAACAAAGAGCAAGCTAAATTATCTTGAACAATTCACTTCATTTTGTTTGTGCTGAAAAAGCGTTGTATTGAGCAGGAAAATTATGTTATTATTTAGCAACACTATTGAACGCACAGACCGGCTGTTAAAAAAAAGAAAGAAACTATTATGTAAGAGCAGGAAAAACATAGCCTCCATAATAAACAGTTTGCGGAGGATCCCTGTGGTTAACCCTAACCCAATCCAGTTAAAAATTAAAGTTAAACAGTGTTTTTTGCTGAAGTGAATCTGGCATCTGTTTGTCTAACTTTTGCAGAACAGCCTGTACATAATTACTGATCGACCAATCAGTGTTATTTCTATCAGTAGTTTGTCCATCACAGTATTCCTGAGATCTGACTTTTACTGAGGTAAAAAGGTGAAGGAGCACTCAGCACCAGCAGTGGACACATGCACAGTACTTATGAGAATCATAATGACAGTGTTCATGTGTTTTTGTAGCTGCGATGGAAGATTCATCTGCAGCTCATCTTCACGTTAATGCTAAAAAGGACTAACATTAGAAGAGTCAGTGCTGGTTGTGCTTGGCAGAGCCTTCACTGTTGAACTATTTCTAAAAGCTTGAAAAGGTCGAATTATCTTTTATCATTTCTCGGCTACTTCAAAACCTCCATAAGCTTAATACTACCAATGTCTATATCGAGTGCCAGTAATGTTTCATTAAGTAAACTATGACCTATAGTAGGACAGTTAAAACACAAATCACAATCATCCTATAGCACAAAATCAGTGAGAAAGACAGTACGGATCTTTTAACTAATGCTCTTCTGCTTTGATTAGGCTGCTGCAACAATACAGCTAAGGACATTTTGCCACAAATAAGAAATAAATGGTAAAACAGTCATCTCCACCACTGTTACAAAATAATTATTTACAAACATAGCTGTAGTTCATATGGTAATTTGTGACGTCAAAATTTATGCTGAAAAGAAAATCATTTTAACTATACCAAAACATTCAAACCAATCCTGCAGGAACAATATTCAAAATGTAGTTAAACATTTATTTTCATATGCTGTGTTTTCTCATTGAAAAAACTGACTTGACATTTTCTAGACTCAAGGATGGCTCTGCATTTCCCCACTATTCACCTTTAGATCGAATTATAATTTGGCCAAAACAGAAACAATCATTTGACCCTCCCCTGCCCCTTTGTCTTCAGGGATGAGTGTTGTGGCATGAAATAATGTGGAAAGAATTGCTGAACAGGTGAAGAATGCTGTTTATGAAACCTTGCCGGGGGCTAAATGTGTTAAAATGCTATGTTAGAGCCATTTGTTGTGTGAGGTGAAGGCAACAGGACAGGAGTAATCAGCTGGAACACAGTGGTGGTGATCGTTTGACCTTTGTGCGACCACAACCCTTTATGACCCTCATAAAAGCACCTGTTAGAATTCACTTTAGGGTATTCTGGGAGGGAACTCCCATTCAATTTGCAACAGCAGGAAAGTGACAGCATGATGATTTGTGATCAGTAATCTTGGAGAGGATCAATATTTTGCATTGATGGGCGACTGTTTGCCCTTCAGTTTCAACCAGATCTGTTGATTTTTCCACTCCATTGGTTTTTATTGGCCAAATTCACACTGTTAAACGTCATTTAGCCCATTTCTGACAAAGGGATTCAAACTTTAGTATCATTTAGTGAGACACTGGAGATACCTTGTCAAGTTTTATAAATGATCTTCCGTCCAGACATTTTTCACCTTAATAATAAATTCCATTCACCATTTCAAAGGGCATAAACTGAACTGATAGTCTCATGCAACTCAGGAGTTATTTGACACTCATTTGTATGTAATAACTATAACTATAAAAAGTTTAAAAAAACCCATTATCGGGTTGATTTCTCTTCTGGTCCCTGGTGAGAGCTCAGCCATGGCCTGTTGACACTCTCAGGAATGTATGAAAAGCATTTGAACGTCATCTCCATTCAGAGGTGCCAGTGGACCTAATTGGGAATGAAAAACAGAAACAAAGCTCTGGTTTAAAAGTGAACAGTGCCCCCCTCCTGCTCTCAGGCGGATATCTGAAGCAATCCTGGCTACAGAAACACATACACTCACACACAAACCGCCATCCACCTACATGTCAGTGCAAGCTTCTCTCCAACGCAGTGCGGCTTTAAGAGGACCGGGGCTCTTAAATCTGTGCTTGGCTCCTCCTTCCGCCATGATGTCAGTCGGAGGGAGAGCGAGAGGGAGAGAGGTGGGCAGTATTGAGGAACTGAGTTCATACAATACTACTGAGACATCTACAGCTTAGCAGACAGATACGCTGAACCGCCTATCCCGGCTCCTGTAAGTGATGCTGCACTGAGGCACACTTTGATCCAACTCCATTGGGGGGGGGGGCGAGATGCGCTCGCTGCATCCCACCTTTAAGAGTTTTTTTGGGGGAGCTTGTACATCCTTGCTTCAGTCAAATCAAGTGCTGATAAAATGAATTAGATTTAAGCTATCGTCTTTCAACAGAAGTCAATTTTTTTGCGCTTGGATTGAAGTTTTACGCGCAGGTCGAGACGCCTTCAGCGCACATGTGCACATTTCGGCCCAGCGTTCTTAAAGCTGGGAGAAATAAAGTAATTGAAAGGCAAATAGGCTAGGGATACAAAGTTAATGTAAAATAACCAAAACAAAAAACTGCTTGGATCGATGCGTATCTCCGCCCGTGGGATTGCGAGCCCAAGACATCTGAACAGGAATTACAGCGTCCTTTTCAAACTAAGTTGATCGATGTGCGTGATATTTTTCTCTTGCACATGTGGACCACTGTCTTTTAAGCGCATGGATAAGTTTTTGTAGTGGATAACGTTTTTTTTTTTTACTTGCATCGCATTCTGTTGCCGCTTCTCGTGAGGATCCTTTCTCCCCCTTCTCCCCCGACTTCAGTTTAATTCGTGGCACTTTTTTGTAAATCAGTGATGTCTCTACGCGACGGCACAAGCGGTTGATTATTCATCATATTAGAGCGGAAAAGGTAAGATAATGCTATTTTCCATCACTTTACTGTAAAGATGTAAATGTGTGTTCACTGAATGTTCTCTGAGCATATTTCTGCCGTTACTTGTGTGGCTCCTGTGCGCATTCAGAAACGCTGGAGAGCGCCCAATAGCCTAATTTATGTGGTCTGTAAAAAATCAAATTGACGTCCAAAACCGACGAGGACCTGTGCTATATTTACTGAGAGCAGCATAAGCTTGGCGAGAATTAAGTGATAGTCTTGAAGGCACTTGGATAAATCAGGGTGTTGCAATAGTGGGTCATTTTGATTCCGTGCGTTTTCCTAGAGCTGCTCCAAAAAGATAACAGGCGTCCCCACGCATGCACCTGATGTAAATAGGAATTACCCCATGGACATGGTGCGTTTTGAAGACTGTAAGCTGAGTTGTCGCATTATGAATATGAACTGCGCGGTTGGTCACGACTTCGGGCGTCATTTAATCTTGTTCAACGCTGATCGCGAGATAGATAGGCCTACTTTCGAAGAGCATCCAACTGCAGGGACTTTATCGGTGCAGGTTTCTCGGTTTCTCAGCAGCTTGGCCGCTGAGGCTCGGTGCGTGGGTGCGCGGTAACAGCGCGCTCCTGGTCAAGCGGTTCAGATGCCATACAGTAGAACATAACCTCAGGGTCTGTCAGTCTGTTTACGCTCAGACTTCAAGAAAAAATAAAGAAAAATAAATAGATGCTTTCCACCAGGAGTACTTCAGTAGTCCCCGCTGGCCGGGAGATTAGCCGCCACAGTTGGTTGTTTGGCTTCCTAATATGTTATAACTGCCCTAAATGCAAGAGATTATTATTATTATTGGGTCAATTTCCACCCCACACACAAGGCACTCTGAACTCAATATTTGCTGGAGAATTAAATCAAATAGTAATGCAAAGCTTCCCAAGGTGAGCAGTGGGATATATTTTTGCTGTGAGCTGAAGCATTAGTATGAGAAAAAGGAAGAGTGAGTCTGTGAAAGCAGGCTAAAAATGTGTGATTTGTAATAGAAATAAAAATAGAAAAAGAAAAAAAATTGCACTAATAACATTCACTCCTGCACATTAGCATATAAAAACCACCAGTTGATAAAGGGTAATTGATCCAACACCCTGAACTACAGTAGGTGTTAAAACCAGACCTCCACTTATTAAATAATTAGATGGATAAATTCTACTTCACTTGTACCTTTCCTTCAGTCCTATAGAACCTTTGTTTATTCTCGTGAGTTTGTAGATTTAACATAAAGCCAGAGAGATGCTATTCAGTTGTCAAAGTTGTTGTCTTTCTTACTTTACTTTTAGTCCTAGCCTTTCAAATGCTGAACACTGGAGCCATTAGAACACATCCAAAGTCCTTTCAAATCCTCTCTTCCACGGTCACTTTGACTTTATATTAAAAACGATATCCTGCTCAAATAATCTGTACATCTTTAAAGCCAGCCTGAGTTTAGAGATCTTGTCCTGAAAATCTGTCTGATATTCACCATTCAGTGTTGCAGAGGTAGAAAAGCACTTTTCACTGCCTACAAAGGATAATTAATAAAATATGACAACCCACTTTAAATTTCTGTATTTCAAAATCCATTATGTTAAGAATCACAAATTCAGCACCAAATGAAAATAGTCTTTCCGTGTTGTGTATTGTCATTGTGTTTAAGTGTTATTAAATTTGAAAATATTTTTTAGTAATTAGTTTTAAGCTGCAGTGAAATGTTTTTGAGTCATTGTAAGAGCTCTGTAGCAATTAATTAAAGTGTCCACAATTTCAGATTTGGTCACATCTTTATAAATATGCTTGCTTTTAAAATAAAAGTTAAAGATGACGTAAAGCTTCACCGCAAAGATCACACTTATTTAGCATTCAAGTTACAGTCGCATGTGTGGACTGCCCTCTTGAGGTCCACGATTACAACGTTGTCAATTAGTTCATCATCTTGCTAATGCAGGGGAGGTTAGAAATATTTCCCAGCAAAAATGACAACAACAGCACTTTATTAGTATACCCAAGAAGTATAAAAACTGATAAAAATTGTAAAGAGCAGCCGGGCAACTCTAGACTTACTTTAGCTCTGTAATATCTGAACTTGAATATACATCTTTTATCACAATTAGGTCTATTTTTAACATAGTCAAAGAGGCCATTTATGTTGAACAGCATTTTCATGCACTCTCTGACTTTCCAGTGTAACTTAGGTAATAAAGTCATCGTTGAAGTTTCCCCAGAGAAAACAACTTTCATTCCTCAGCCTTGTAAAGAGAATTGTTCAGGCTGTGTGGACAGAAAAAGAACTGACTGATCTTGACAGAAACCTGGTCTGTCAGGCTGTCAGCGATCCTTAAAGCTGATAAAAAAGAAAAAGCCCAAGACAATCGAAAATATTATTTCAACCAATGCCCTCTTTTGAAAATCTCTGTTGGATCCAAAGACAATATTGATAGATACAACAGTGGTGAAAACCAGCTTTTGACAGTTAAATGACTTTGAGTGGTAGGGTCCCATCCTCAGACTAACTACACTGAAAGTGTTCAGTTGATGGTATCTTTAGGGGTGAAGGAAAAGGGTGACAGCAGCTGTATGTCTCCTCTCTCACTGCTACCTTCAGCCGATTCAAACACCGGGAAGGCCTGTCCATCACACAGCTGTGTAAAGTGATCCTGGGCCGGCCTGCTCCTCTTCACTCTGTGTCTCCCAAGAGGCAGGCTTGAGTTTGCCTACTGGATTCAACCTGCTGTCTGGGGCTCAAAATAGCATTTCAGGAGACTAGTGAAATGTAAGCAAAGGAGACACTCTGACTGACACCTAGGATTTCGCTTTCCCTCCCTCTTACTTTTTTTCCCCCTCCAGCACAATCCCTTCTCTCACCTAGCCTGTCCCTCATGGACAGGTTTATAAAGGGTTGTGACAAGTGAAAAGCCATGAAATGTTAAAAGCCACTGATATAAAACAATAACCCACATTAAGGTAAAAGACAAGAGGAATAAACAAGTTAGTGTTGAACATTAACACCTGCTTTATGCCGACACAATTTCAAAGTCGCTAAATGTAGCGTTTTAGCTTCCTCTTTGGAAGAAATAGGTCGTTATAGCCATTTCCTATACATCTATTTTTTTTTATGTCACATACAAATTAAATTTGATTTCATAACATGGCATTAGAATTGTCAAAGTATCCTTTTTGTTGCTACATTTCTTCTCCTGCATGTTCTCTGAGCCACAAAGCTAGTCCACCACTTCATCCTGAACATTAATGTCACTCACTAGGAAGAGAGGGAATCTAGATCACGCTTTGATCTTTTCTGTTTTTTACACTTGGGCGAATCACATCCCATTTAAGGATGTAATTTAAACTTCATTATGCATTGTGCGTGCTCAGCCTTGGACTGTGCCGCGCTCATCCCAGTAAAGCAATCGCTGCTCACTCAGAAAGAGGCACACTATAAAGCAAAGTGTGTCACAGTGACTAATGTCATATATCTCATCAATATTTTGACATGGCACCACAACGCTTCTTGCGCTATATGTCTAAAATGAATTACTCTCACACTGACACAATGTCAGACATGCTTTTATTTTGGTGCCACTGTTCTTTAATGAGTCTCATGTGACTGCTTTATGAAGTGTGTGAAAAGATATCTGTCTTTACACGCTGCATGAATGCCTTACAATTGTTGCTGATTCAAAACCTGCTTAATTAAATTCTTGTTTTTAATCAATTCCCCTTTGTCGGCAGGCCAGGAGCGTCAATGGCTATGAACACTGTTGCCTTGCCAATTTAGAGGACCCCTGTAGTGCAGTTTAGGTAGTCATACCTTTTTCTATTGTTTGACTCCTGTAAATGGACGGATGGAAATTTCATAAAGCAGGAAATATTACAGTTCCCAGAGAGATATTTAAGGGCCCTAGTTGCTGCAGGTATGTATGCAATTTCAGCACCAGCTGTACATGCTTTCTGTGATGGCTCTCAGACACTTTTGCCATACGTTGAAGGAAATTGACGTTAAATTTCAAGGCAGCTGCCTAATAAATACCAGCCGGTATCTCTGGGAAAATCATATGAGGTTGATAAACATTCAAAGGGTTGGTGGACCTAAACACACAGGGGGATATGAGCAATGAAATTATATTAGTCGTTAAATATATTGCGCTGGAATACACATGGGGCACTGGTATTATAATGAGAAATAAATATGGCTGTGCGTTGGTGGCTCTGCCCTGGTAGTACGTCACCGCACTCTAAAAACAACTCAAAGACTAGTGATGCGAGTCTGTTGTCATACTTATTACATCTCCTAAACATAAACATGCTTTTATAATTGCACTGCATTACAACCACTCTTTAAAAAAGCCCATAAAGCCTGTGACCAAGCCTTTTACAGAGAGCCATGAAAATATGCAATATATGCAGGAATATATTTAAAAAATGAATAAGTCAAAGAAGCCGGCCAGCAAACCACATGAAATAGCTCCCCTTACAACTGACTAAATAACCTACTAATTAGCTGGTGGAAAGCAGTCAATATTTAATGCTAGCATATACTGGCAGGGAGGGCATTGCAGAATATGACTCCTTCATCATCTTCCAATGACCTACTTGGGTTTTGGCAATTGAGGTTATCGCCCTTTGGCAAGACCTCGCACATTTAAAACAGTGAACGATTTTGTAGAACAACAGCATCAAAGAAAGTGGCACTAAACACAAAGTGTTATTAATGAATTATGTTAACTGATGGTGAGCCCATCTGCTCTGCATTTTCTGTTAAGGGTTTCATCAAAGGAATCTTTCAGGACAAGCAGTAAACTGTATGCTATTTAAATTTGATGTTGGAGAAAACACATTCATCAGTATGTAATGAAGTTATGATTAAATTTCACTAATTTGACTGATGGCTGCTCCTGCAATAAATTATTCCACACTGTTGTCTCTTTCCACGGCAGTTAGGCTGAACAGTGCTCTTATCGTACTGCGAATGTTTACACACATGGGCGTTCATGAAATATTTGCGAGCTCAATTGTTTACATTCAGAGCAAATGAGGTTGTCCATTAATAGCTGCTGTCAAGCAATACGACTGCGAGAGTGTGTGTGTCTGTGTGTGTTCATGCATGGAAGCACCAATGCTTAAGGCTCAATTCTGCTGCCTTCAAATCAGCTCAACTCTGTTAGTGAGGTGCAGTTTATGAAGTCACCGCTGCACATTATTGACTCAGATTTGAATATTTTTCTGCACACTAGTTTGTGGAAAAGATTTTTGAAGCACTAGCAAACTCGAAACAGCAAACTGAACAGCTTTCATACTTAAAAACGGATGAAGCGGATAGATGGAATACATGAACTACTAACCTTTTACTTGTCGGCTTGCTCAATAGATGCCATCAAAGGTTAATTGTGTAAAACTGCAGTTAATTTGACCTCAAAGATACTGTGAAGGACATGGACTCAGAGCTAGTTAGGATGAATAGGTCAAGTTGATAACTCTCCTTGAGAAAAAATAGTAATCATAATCGCAGTACTTGAATGCCTTATAATTCTCACATTGACCATGTGTCCTCTGTTTTTCTCTATCTTTACTCTCTTGGCTCTCTTGAGGCAGAATTGCTGCTGTAGAAGGGAAGCTACCATCAACCTTTGAGTATGGACTTAGCAGGTCAGGCTCATGTGCTGGTGGTCTTGCTCGCCAGCGTGGTCCTGCTGTGTCTGGCCCAGGAGAGGGACTACACGGTGAAGGAAGAGCAACCGGAGAACGTCCGCATCGGGAACCTGCGCAGGGACCTGGACCTCAGCCTAGACCCTAACATCAGGCTGTCCTCTCCGTTGCAGTTCAAGCCTGTGTACAAGACAGGTGACGTGCCTTTAGTGAGGGTGGAGGCCAGCACGGGGGAGATCTTTACAACCAATCACCGAATCGACCGGGAGAAGCTGTGCTCAGGGGTCTTCGCTGAGAAACGCTGCTACTATGAGATAGAGGTGGCCGTGCTGCCCGACGAGATCTTCAGATTGGTCAAGATCCGCTTCCTGATCGAGGATGTAAATGACAACGCACCACTTTTCCAGTCAACTGTTATAAACATCTCCATCCCAGAGAACACCGCCATCAACACTCGATACCCTGTGCCCTCAGCATTTGACCCTGATGTAGGGATCAATGGGATCCAACATTACGAGCTGGTCAAGGTGAGGCTGTCTCCTCTTCCATTTCTCAAACAGACACACAGAAAATCAAAACTGAAAATGTTCTTTGTTGTGTTCTGAGGTTGCCTCTGTTAACTTGCTATTGATACTAGCCATGATATTCAGGGGAGACTCTTTTGAAAAAAAACAGGGACTTTATTTGGTTTTAAGTTCATTGTAACTTGTGTTGGTGTAAATGAACGCAATAACTGTTTGGGGAGATTGTTCACAATTACCATTGATAATGTGCCACAGGGTAAGAGCTATGGTCCTATGTGAAATTGATCATTAACATTTTTGAAACTTTAGGCTTCACACGCATCTTTTTCCATAGTTACACACTTTCTACCTAGTCTTGGGTGTTTTTCTGTGGATCTAAAGCTCTTTTCTCAAGGTCGGGTACATACTTTTTCATATTCTGATCTATCCCTTTAGAATTTTCATGCCTGTCATCTATAATTAGATTAGTAATAATCAAGATAATCTGATGCTGCATATCTAAGTAAAGATCCTGAAAGACTCACTCCACTAAAAATGGACTTTGATTGATGATATAACTGTGTGTCTACAGTCTCTTGTCTAAACTAAAAGCCATCTTGTACAAAGCATTTTAGCTTGATTGTGAATCAATGAAAGATATTGGAAGTGAAAGATAGGAGTCCTATGATACTGGAAGTCCAATAGTAAACAAATTTATTTCATAGAGTTAATAACATAAAATGGCTTTTAGTCAAATAAAGATGATCAGAACAATGACAAACCAGAGACCACCATAGCAATCAATCTTTGAGAAATAATTTCTTACAGGAATAATGGGACAGAAAGTTTGATTTAATTTACTTATTTTCAAAAGCCCCAATGAAGGGATGTATCACATCCAAGCTGAATAACAAACTGCACACAAATTATTGATGAATCCCTTACACACTGCTGTGTCTGCAGTAAGCCAACTTCTATATGAGGTCTGATTAGTTGCTATTTTTTAATCTTCAAGTCCTTGTGATATTGTCTTTGCTCCATTTTATCCCATATGGTTTTCATCAAATATTATTCAGCTCTGCATTATAGCTTCTCCTGTAAAACTGCTATATTACTATAGGACTGAAGTGCATATTGTAAAACTGACCTACTTTTCCATAGAGTGGAAAATACTAAGAAGCCTACAATGTTTCATACTAGGTATTAATATGCCCAAATGTTCTATTTCATTATGAGAGAAAGCTTTAAAGAAGGGGAGCTTTTCTCCATGTATAGTAATATCTCACAGTACAAAATGCACACACAGCATATAATGTATGTCCAATTTCCAGCAACAGGTTACATGTGCTGAACATGGTAGATTTAAGCAAGTGAGAATGAATGCACTATATTATGTTAATGGATGTCTCATGCAAATCTAGGAGAAGCTTTCCTTCATCATCTAATTGATGCTTTATTAAACTGCAGTGCAATATTCTCCCTTGCCTAATGGAGTCAGCCCTAAATTTATACATGTAGGATAATATCATGCATCCTTCATTTATAGTTCAGACAACACTCTGTGCTCAGTGGATAGATGAATATCGGAGATGACATGAGCTCTTACAAATGAAGTGTAATTAAAGAGGGAGATGCAAGCACTCTGGAGGAAACCCTAAACATAATAAGTAAAGAGAGGTACTGGATTTGGAGCATGGTGCAAGACAGAAATGACAAGTCCATCACGGACTCTCAAATGAAGTTCACACTGGGTTGGAGGGAACAGAACTGTGGCTGTCCGTGTCTGCCTTGAATACCAATTTGCATTTTTAAAGACTCCCACTGCCAAGGCCTTTCCAGCGCAGTGTCCTGAATTGTTTATAACTAAAATCATCAACCAAATGTCCTGCTCATTATGATGATCATCTGCAATCATATAATCTGCCCTCTCCACGACATAAAATTCTTGCCTAGACTGCAGTGGTATTATATTTTGCAGGGAATTCTTTTTAGAGCATCCTCAGCACTGCGTTCCTGATTATCTTCTTGTCATTATATTGTACTCCAGATTAATTGTATAAGAGTGAGCTACAGGGAGAAAACATTAAGGGAGCCAGAAATATTTGCAACTGTTAGTGTGTTAGTCCTTTATTCCTGAAGAAGAGTAGAAAGCAAAGGGTTTAGTGTGGAAAGAATGTGCAAGCATTTCCAAGAATAGCTCGTGGCCACTAAGCCACCCTTGGACTATCTTTGTTTGGTCCTGTGAGATTTGTCTCAGAATCTCCCTCAGAAGGATAGTTTGCCCAGTTTCCTTGTGTTGTGGAGGGCAGAGGACTGAAATTGATGCCATTGTGTGGCACAGTGTGACATACTCAATGGCTCTACACTCCACATGTGGCGTGCCTAAGATGTCAACATACCAAACAGATGAGAGGAACATGGTAGCACCTTTTTGTACCACTAGTCCTTTTCCGTAAAGCTAAGAGGGACAACGGGTAATTACATTCTACACAATGCTGTGGCACCGCACTTAATGGGTGGTAATCACACTCTGAGTGAAACTCTGCCATCAGGGTAGTGCAGTGGTGTGTTGCGTCACCTGAACTGCAGAGACGGCGTCCTAAGAAATGGTCAAGGTTAGGGAAAGCAATCACATGCATGGATGGAGGAGGATCTCCTGTGAAAGCAGATTTGATCATTATACATATTCACAGGATTACTCAGAGACCAACTCAGAAACATGGTCATGGGAGTGCCAGATAGCCTATTGGTTGCCTATGAGCCCCATGTACAGAGGCTATGGTCCTGGTCGCAGTGGGATGGGTTACAATCCGCCCTTGTCCCTTTGCTGCATGTCATCCCCCACTCTCTCCTCCAACATTTCCTGTCTCTCCTCATCTGTTCTATCCGATAAAGACAAAAATGGCCACATGGTCATGACTTAAGGAGATTCTTCTGTTGTTTTTGCTTGGTTTTGTGGTTAAGTTGGAGTTTTGGCCCCCTATTATTTCCTATTATACCAGTTATTATAATTTGCTGCAGCACATTCTTCCTAAATCCAAGTTGAATCTTTGTCGTTATCTTCAGACACATTAAAAGTGGTTGGCTACTTATTTCATGTAGATGAATGTTCTGCTGCTAGATAAGTTATGTTCCCTTAGAATCTGGATAATGAAGTGGGTGTCTGTATTTTGGTTGAGCAATTTGGAGAGCACTTACACTTCACCTTTTGCCATTTCTTGCATTTTTTCCAGGGTATTTTGGAATCTACTTGGTTGCTACATGTCTATTTGAAATACACCTAAGATTCTTTGAGTAGTTGGAGTGGTCCTTTAGCTTGTACTCTAAGTCTCAGCTTCAATCATTCCATTCCTTAACTGCCTCTTACTCTGCATCTGAAGATGCAAAATGAATTCAAGATTCAATCCCACGTCGCAAGAAAGTTGTGATCAATGCGTTGCTTGCTGCCTATAAGCAGTGAGTAGGATATTGGTCAGAGAGCTCACTATCAAGCATTTCCAGTTTTCATTAGCATCCTATTTTGACACATTTTCATCCTCTAAGGGATGACCAAAAGAGAAACAATTCCCAGCTTATTTTGTCTTAATTATATGCATGAGATCATGGCTGGGGGGCAAAAGTGGCTGAGGGATTGAGGAAAAGAATGAAGAAAGAATGAGAGGTAGAGAAGGAGAGAGAGAGAGAGAGAGAGAGAGAGAGAGAGAGAGAGTGAGAGTTTCTATCAGCATTATAAAGAGGTGCTATAGCTTGTGATGAATTGCCCTCCCTGGTTAGCCCCATCCATGGGCATCACCGTGACTGGAGTCCTCCTGATATATTCACAGCCCAATCTCAGTCTCCTCTTAGTTTTAATAAGGTCATCAAGTTGACTGAAAGATGCATCCATTGATAATCTGAAGAGCTGCCTGCAGAACGGGATTCAGAGTCTTCCTTCCCTCTGCATCTGCCACCCCTGCTTCTGTCAGTGTCCCTCAATCATTTTCATTTAAATTAGCCAACCCTTGATTAAATTCAGAACTAGGTACCTCCCACATAAACAAAGCACTGTTTTGTACTCTTCCCACTGCTGAGACCTGGTGATGTTTTATAAAAAGAAAAGCATGTCATCAGAGTTCAAGAAGACATACACCTGCTCAGTTTTTGTGTGTTGAAAGCGTGAGGCATACAATGTGCACACTTAGCTGTTTAGACAGATTTGTCCTTCTCACTCAGCCTTAGGGTTTCCAGTGAGTGATTCATGCTAGTATTTGGCCTTTTCTTAGCCTGCCCTAGATCTTATCACAATCCACCAGACTAATTTTGCATTCAGGAGGATGCACCGCCTGAGAGATAGCTCTCTTCAACTTATTGAAATGCATTGAGTGCTGTCTTGTCAGTTGTAAAATTGTGCGAAACCAAGACAAAAGCATAGAGGAAATGCTGGCTCATAAATCATTGTGCAGCATTCCCTTTGACACATCCTAACTCAACATCCTACTATTAACGTCAGGCTTTGCCAAATATCAGTGTGCAGATACTCAGCTACTATGCCGAATCTGTGAACTATTCAAACAACTGAGAATAGCGGAGCTTTGTGCGGATTGAGTAGTGCTTCGCTATAGAGCCCCAAGAATGTTGTCTTGGACCTTTTAGATGTGACAGAAATAGTTCTGCAATGTGTATAAAGATTCAACACAGTTCATCCATAAGGCGATATCTCTGCTATTTCACATATACTCTTATATGACTTGTCTGCTTATCTCTATATGACTTTAGCTTTCCAGAAGGATTGCAAATAAGGTCTGAAAGATCATTGCTGCAGCGTTGGCTGGTTTAAGTAGTTCTGTCAATCACTGACATGTTGACGACATTCCCTCGGCAAGCAGTTTTTCAGAGTACACAGTAATTTACATGCTGCAGCTGCACGTTTTCTTGTGTCAGCTACAACACTGTTGGCACAAGGATAGTCCCATGTTTTAAAACCTATCGAGGACTCTTGTTCCCAGAATTTGGGAGAAATGCTCCTTCTTTGAAAGAGGAGCATGTATGTATCTTAATCTTATTTGATAGCTGTGCCTAGACAGAGTAATCTCTTCCAACATTATGTGCAGCATGAAGCTTATCTCTTTAAAGAGGATGCTTTTTCTTGTTTTACCATGAAACTGCTTCTGACTGAAAGAGCTTCAAAGGGCTTCTTTGTTTCATAATGTGCATGCAGCTCATTCATGAGCTTGATCTTCTGCTTATTTCCTCCCCCTACTATCTCTTTCCCTCTTTTTTTGTCACTTGTCTCTCTCCATCCTTCGTCCTCTTCTCCTTCTTCTTGTTTAAATTGAAACAGTTAGGGCTCCATAGTACACCCCATCTGGCTTCTTTTTTGTTGAGTAATACGCAATTACTTTTAACAGCAACTGCCATTTCCTCTGGTTTGGGGATTACTTTTACATTTGTTTTCATTTTCCTCCGGCTTTACTAATGCCTAGATTTAGCTTTTCTTGAGCAAGAAGCCTTTCTAATATTCTGGGTTTTCACTTCCTTCTCTTAATCTATGGTGATCTAGTTTTGCAGTGTTTGTGAAAATCGGAAGCTATTTGTTAATTTCCTTTTCAAGCCTTCTCTCTCCTCATGAAGTTGAGATATTGCAACACTGCCTGCTTTACCGTCTTATGGTTTCTTGTGTCAAGTTAGAATAAGTTGAAATGTATAATTTGAGTGATGGCAAAAGGAATGGGATGGGAGGCTAAAGAGTCATACAAATTGCTTTTGAAGCTAGGAGAGTTGAAGGGGATTTGATGAACTTAAAAGATTGATAAAGTTCCTGTTGAATATATTTAAAAAAAATAGTAACACAAGATACTATTGATGAACTATTACTCAAATTAGATCATTAAAGAATCAAAGAACCAGCTGTTTAGTTTTGTCGTTTATTACTGCCCAAAAGGGGTTGCAAATAAATCTAAAGGAAATCTCATCAAAAGCTTTAGTTTTCCGAGAAACAAAAACAAAATTTACATAAGAGTGGAAAAACAACAATGCTTCTAAGTTAATGGCTGCTTGTTAGAATGAATTTGACATTTATATTGATACATGCATATTATTATCATTAATTGACAAAATAAATGTAACTCAAAATCTCTTCTTGTCCTTACAGAGTGTCAGCGAGTTTGGCTTAGACATCATTGAGACTCCTGAAGGGGACAAGTGGCCACAGCTTATTGTTCAGCAGAACCTTGACCGCGAGCAGAAGGACACCTTCGTAATGAAGATAAAGGTGGAGGACGGTGGCAACCCTCCCAAGTCCAGCACTGCCATTCTCCAAGTCACCATTTCTGATGTCAATGACAATCGTCCCATCTTCAAGGACAGTGAGCTGGAGGTCACAGTCCCAGAGAATGCCCCCATGGGGACATCAGTTGCTCAGCTCCATGCCACAGATGCAGACCTGGGCTCCAACGCACAGATCCACTTTGCCTTCAGCAACCAGATCTCTGCCTCAACCAAGCGTCACTTTGCCATCGATAGCTCTACAGGACTCATCACAGTGAAGCAGCCTCTTGACCGGGAGGTAACTCCTGTTCACAAACTCATTGTCCTGGCCAGTGATGGCAGCTCCACTCCTTCCAGAGCCACAGTGATTGTTAATGTAACAGATGTTAATGACAATGTTCCTACCATAGACACTCGCTACATTATCAACCTGGTTAATGGGACTGTTCTTCTGTCTGAGAATGCACCTCTAAACACCAAAATAGCCCTAATTACTGTTACTGACAAGGATGCAGATCTTTATGGTAAAGTAGCTTGCTACACTGACCATGATGTTCCTTTCCGGCTGAAGCCTGTCTTTAATGATCAATTCTTACTAGAGACGGCTGCCCCCCTAGATTATGAGACGACTCGAGAATATGCAATTAAGATAGTAGCCTCGGATAGAGGGACGCCTCCTTTGAACACTTCAGCTATGGTTTTAATTAAAATCAAGGATGAGAACGACAATGCACCCATCTTCCCCCAGCCGGAAATCCAACTTTCCATACCGGAGAACAATGATCCTTCTACACAGTTAATAAAAATCAGTGCCACTGACGCAGACAGCGGACATAATGCTGAGATTATTTATACTCTTGGCCCTGATGCGCCTGATGGTTTTAACGTAGACAGGCGGTCAGGAATCCTTTCTGTTGGCAAACGACTGGACAGAGAGAAGCAGGAGAGGTACTCATTCACTGTCATAGCGAAGGACAATGGCTCCACATCCCTGCAGAGCAATGTCACTGTCAGGCTAATCGTCCAGGACCTTAATGACAACAGCCCAGCTTTCACACACCCAGAGTACAACTTCTATGTGCCTGAGAACCTGCCCCTCTACGGAACCGTGGGCTTAATCACAGTGACTGATGCAGATGCAGGAGATAATGCTGTTATAACCCTGTCCATTTTGAATGGCAAAGACAATTTCATCATCGACCCCCAAACTGGCGTGATAAAACCCAATATCACCTTTGACAGGGAGCAGCAGAGCTCTTACACATTTATGGTCAAGGCAGTTGATGCGGGGCAACCTCCAAGCTCCTCTTACGCCAAGGTCACTATCAATGTAGTAGATGTGAATGACAATCGCCCAGTTTTTGTCATCCCATCATCCAATTACTCATATGACCTAGTACGGGCCACCACCACACCTGGCGCTGTGGTCACCAGAGTGTTTGCCATTGACAATGACACGGGTATGAATGCTGAGCTGCAGTACAGTATTATCAGTAGCATCATCATCACATCTAGGGTCTCTCCTCGAGGTCTCTTCGCCATTGACAAAATAACGGGTAACATTACACTGCAGGAGAAAATAGTAGTAGCTGACCAGGGGCTGCATAGGCTGGTGGTCAAGGTCAAAGATCTAGGCCAGCCTGAGTCATTACATGCCATAGCCCTGATTCACTTGTTTGTCAATGACACTGTGTCAAATGCCACCTTTATCCAAGAGCAGCTACGAAAAAGCATGGAGACACCTTTGGACCGTAACATAGGGGACAGTGAGGTATCACCTCAAGCCAATGGATATGTGATTGTTGTCATAGCTATCATAGCAGGGACCATGACTGTCATCTTGGTGATTTTTGTGACTGCCTTGGTGCGGTGCCGACAGACGCCCAGACACAAAGTTGTACAGAAGGGCAAACAGAGTGGAGAATGGGTTTCACCTAACCAAGAGAACCGTCAGATCAAAAAGAAGAAGAAGAGAAAGAAGCGATCCCCAAAAAGCCTCCTCCTGAACTTTGTGACAATAGATGAATCCAAGCCTGACGACCCTACCCATGAGCATGTAAATGGTACGCTCGATCTCCCCGTGGAGTTAGAGGAGCAAACCATGGGGAAGTACAACTGGGCCACCACGCCTACCACCTTCAAACCCGACAGCCCAGATTTAGCCAAGCATTACAAGTCAGCTTCCCCTCAGCCTACATTTCAAATCAAACCGGAGACCCCAGTGGCCCCAAAGAAACACCACGTGATCCAGGAGCTCCCTTTGGACAACACATTTGTGGTGGGCTGTGACTCACTCTCCAAGTGCTCATCGACTAGTTCCGACCCATACAGTGTCTCAGAGTGCAGCTGTCAGGGGGGATTCAAGACTGCGGGGCAAATCACCACCCGACAGGTAATTCATGACTTCCTTTTTAAACCCTCCCACACTAGTCCCCACTCACACTCCCCTTGGTGTCCCATGGTAGGTGATTTGAAAGGGAGAGGGTGGCAGCATGAAGCCAGGGGATATTCCCACTCTTCTCACCATGATCATGACTATATGAATGTCATTTGCAATTAAAAAAAAGTGTGCCCAAGACTTGCCATAAAAATTTTAAAATAATTAGTTCCATTAAAAACAGCAAACGTTTCCCATAAGTGATTGTTTTTGATTTATGTATGTATGTACCCCTTTCATAAGAGCAACCATAATTGCATTATCATCTTCAAAAATACATGGGCAGGTTAGTTCCATATTGAAAGCTTGGGTAATGGAAGCAGTACAATTGTAACGACTCGTTATTTTAAACTAAAGGTTACTGGCAACAAAGCTCGATTTGAAGAGCATGGGTTAGGCCGGATTCTGTCAGGCTCGCTACTGATGTATTTAAGGTCAAGGGACAATCATGCTGTGTGCTAATATATTTGACTGACGTGTTTAAATGAGGCGAGCAGAAAATAAACAAGTGCATCACCAAGAGAAGCAATTTATCTGGTATTCATTTAAACAAAAGTGTGAAGGTGATGCACAAAACAACAACAAAAAGGTATCTTGACATGCTGAAAAAAAACTTGATAAATAATCCTGTTTTTTTGTTGCTTCTAGCCTGAAAAATTAAGTGCTGCCTTAACCGTACAAGTGAGGCTTTGTGGAAGAGAGCCTCATTTAAATGCCAAGGTACAGCAAAGGGCTTATGATTCCCTAAGAGATATGTGCCAAATGCGAAGTGCCCCAATAAATAAAAGCTGGCGAGGGAAATAAATGTAAATCAGAGGTAAAGAGAGGTGGCCTTGCTCTGTGCTGACAGCCAGAGCCGAACACTGTGGGGAAGACTGAGTACTGCTTGGGGCAGGCGGGGGGGAGGGGGTCACAGAGATCAAGGTGACGCAGAGCCTTGAGACCAATATACTTAAACACCAAGGGAGCAGTAGTCCATAAAAGAGCCTGCCCGGCCGACATTGCATTTAGCCCATAAATGCTCTACTTTAATGACCCCAATTATTGTTATTAATGGCATATGTAGATACACATTCTTTACATCCTCTAAATTAGCTCACATTGGAGAGGATGCAATAACATCACAACAAAGGTTTGCTGTGATGTGTGGTGTAGTTTGCGTATGTCCATACTATCACAAGCATAATGGAACTAATCAAGGCTGACTAGTCTGTGCACAAGGTTGCAATTTATTTAAAAAAAAATGTGGGGCTATACGGCGTTTTCACAAAGTGTCAAACTTTGTGTGGAATTTGCTTGCTTTTTTTAAACCATTTTCCTTTTTTCTCATTTTGTGTTTTTTTTTCCCCATGTATATATTTTTGAAAGTTGGGTTGTTGCTAGGTTGCACTGGCTTTCTTTTTTGTTATTGTTTTGATCATAATTATCACAACTGCCATTCATCCAATTCTGGGTCAATTTCATGATATTGCATCAATAATTGATTTTGTTTGATGAGGTGCTTGCTTTTGTTTGTGTCTAGCCTCACATTGCACACAGTTTTCAGATCTGTGGTTCATATCTGCCTTTTTGGCTCGCAATATGCTTCTGTTTGACATCTAGCAAGCATTCAAATTCCTCATGGCATAGTTTTGGTAAATGACTGTTGAGCCCGTGAAGTAATATGCTAAGTATAATTCATGAAGACACCCACACAGAGTTGATAGTCATTCCCTTCATCCACCTTCTATTCAAAACCCTGGTTAAAAGCTATGCTCTGCCACGGTACATTATACATAAGCTTACAACATGCCCTTGGTACGAAAGATTTAATTCATAATGTGTTTATACGACACACTGACGACTTGTCAGGATGATTTCCCGTCTAACTACTACTGAGTGCCCTGAAATATGCAGAAATATTCAGACTGTGTTCTACTATTCTGAATTATTATCTGCCATGAATTTTATGCTTTAAGGATTTAAATTGATTTTTACTTATGTTGTTGATCAGAGCGGAGTATATTTGTCGGATTCATTTAAAATCAATGAATTTATGATCAATAAACGTCCTTCCACATCCTGAGGCCCTCTTTATACCAGTTTTTTTCTTAGTTGTTTTTATTCATTTCTCCAAAAAAGGTTATGTTTTATCGGCATAACAGTCTCACATTTTGGTGACACGACTCTCACACACGCCAGTAATTTCAGTTTTTATCAAGAAAAATCTGTCCTCATTGCTTCTCCTCACCAAGCATATCTTCAGTGATGTTAAGCTGATAATACATCTTTTTTTTCTTGTCCCCTTGAGCAATTGACAAGTGATGCCTCCCACTTTAGACATTAGATTTCCCATCAGTTTTAAGAGTGCTTATTTAAAGCCTGTGTCAAGGAAAAGAAAAAGCATGGAGCTTCGCCTGATGAGAATCAGTGGCTGCAAAGGTTAATTAAATGCACTAAAGGGTTAATCACTCGTAATACAGTATGATTAAAATCACCGTAATTAGGTTTCGAATGAGGCTGATAAGAAAGAGGAGAAAAGACAGCCTTCCTTTAAGATTATCAGTGATGCCACATAGTATCCTTGGGTGAGTCACGTTCTCAGAATCTAAAGCGATGAGACAAAAGATGACCAGCTGTACTGTTTGTTTAAGCCCCATTATAAGTTAATCTTTGCTTGATTTTTTTTTATCTTTGTGCGCCTTTAAAGAAAAATCTATTTTCAAAGTCTAAAGAAGAACACTTAAAAAAAAAAAGCCACTCCTACAAAAAAAGCCTTGTTGCTTTTATCTAAAGAGGCAAAAAAGAGAATTTCAAGAGATCATTTCAAGTGTTGCTGTTAAAACAAGAGCTGCATTTTTGTCGGTCAATGCCAGCCATTCTGTCTCCCTTGAGCCTTAAAACCTAATACCACAAGTCCAAAAAGCAAAGATCACAGCCAGGTTCTCGTGTTTTCCTTTTTGTTCATCAAAGTGACAGATGGTGCTTTGGTGCCTTTACAGTGATCTCTCGTTGCCCCACACCCTCCCACACACCTAAAGCAGCTGAAAATAAAGCAGACAAAAAGCCCACCCATGGAATAACAATTGGTAGGGCACGCAGGAGGAGATGATTATGGTTTAAGGTCACCAAAATGTTTTCAGGGACTTTACAGATGTAGCTGATAGAGAGTAAAGCTTGTAAAAATACTTCAGAGACTACAGATTTGTGCCACCATATGGCTTCATTATACAGCGCGAGCCACATTTGCAAATGAAAACCTCCTCCCTCCCCTCCCTTGTCTTCTCGGTTTTTACGCATCTCATCATTTTCTTTTAACCCTTACCCCAGGATATTAGAGGTCAATCTGCCTCCAGTGATGAGGAGCTCATGTGAGAATATGTGCTGTAGCCGAGGCAGATCAAATAAGTACACCACCCTGCTTGAGTGATCTCAGACATCATCATGAATATGCAGAGAATAAAACAGGCTAAGAAATTTGTTTTTTTTGTCTTGCACCTAATTCTGGGGGGGGGGGGAGCACAGAGGGTCACTGCTAAACAAAAGCAACCTCATATGAGTTAATATACCGTAGGAAGAAGAAAAAAAACTGCTGTTATGGTTCCTGTGCATAAGCATGCATTACAGTTTGACTAAACACCCCTTAGAGCACAAGTGTTGTTCTAATGCCTTATTCATAATGCAATTTATGGTATTATCTTTAAAAGAGTTAATATTATAAATTCATTGGATAACAAGGGCAGCAGCGAACTCCATTTTTTCATATCACCATGTATTTGTGTGGGTGAAGGCACATGCTCTTTACACTAGCCACCCATGGTCTGATGACAAAGTGCTGGCGCTGACTCATTGGGTGCACAGCAAAGAGAAGAGGCTATCATTCTAAAAGGCTAACTAGGCATGTTAATCAAATCCGACACCAGAATAACATTTTAGGTCATGTTTTTTTTTTTTTGTTCTCATTTTCTCATTTTTCATGTCTTTTTTTTTTTTTTCTTCTGTTGAGTCATTGCATCTGTGATCAATGTGCCTTGCAAATATAAGCACTATCAGGTCATATGTGTCCTGATTCAGATACCTATTTAGGAACAGCAAAATGTCATGTTCTGTACATATCAGAGGACTTGCTGGCAAGGGTCCGAAAGAAAGAGTGGGCCTAAATTGATCCAAATGGCTTTTTTTTTTTTTAGGGGGAAATGAAGAGTGTTGCACTAGTGTGGTGGGAGACAAAAAGACAAATTGGGAGTGATAATTGGATAAGATTGCATGCTCTGATAAGTACAGGAAAAATGCACAAGCTTGTGACGATTGTAGCATTCTTCAAGGAAACCTGACAAGATAATGACTTGATTGCCAGCCGTACCTTGAAGAATGCTTTTTTTTTTTTTTTTATCTTCTACACTCTCTTCAGAGTTTTTTTTTTTATTCAGTGTTCAGTGTAGCCTCACACTGATAAGGCTACAGCTCAGGCTGCTCAGAGCTCGATGATATTGTAACTACAATCTCCCTATATCTGTCTGTCTCTCTATATTTCAGGAGACGGCACTGAAACCACCACACTATGGCACACTCTGTGGCACAGGTACAGCTCGCTCCCACAGGATTAAAATCAATCTCTAGCTCCCACTACCTAAAGAGAGAAAATGAGAGAAAAGAGACAGAGAGAGGGCAGAGGGAGGAAGGAAAGAAGGCAAGAAGTGAAGAGGGGATACAAGTACTTTACTGTCTCTACAGCCTCAAAACCCCACCTCTTCATACAATCGAGAGAAAAGATGAACTTGAAGGAGGGGAAAGAAAGAAAAAAAAAAAGACAGAAAAAGAAAGACGCTTCATGTTGCCTGCCTGAATCTTGACAAAGCTCCTCCTGTGAATCTGTTGGAAGTTTGAAATGCTTTATCAAGTCCTATGCTGTTACTTACCTGTGTCGGTGAGGATGATACTGTAAGGCCTGAACCCTCCTCGAAAACATGTCCCAC